TGACTATGTAGCAGGAATTTTGGACAGTGATACCGCATATCTGATTTATTCAGTAAACCGGATTCGTTCTGTTAATACATGAGTGGAACTACCTTGTGCTCTGCTAAAAAATAAAATTTCTCGCATTTTTATCTGTGCTTTGCAGTCAAACTTCCATGTGTCTTGAACGAGAAATCTTCTTTTCTTGAACACGAAATCTTTGTGACCAGCCTTCTGTGAAAGATAAATATATCAGCGTGAGATGAGTGATAGTGTATTTCTCAAGTTATTTTCTGGAATGTGAAGAAACAGAAGTGTCATTGCGTGATGCCTTGAAAGATAAGGAGCCGACATACGACAGCTTGATAGAAAGCAAAAAAACGTAGAATTGCGTTTATTTTCTCTTTTGTCAGCAGCATACATCAGTTAGAGGTTTTTGTAATTGGTAAGTTCTAAACTATCTTCAATTTAGCCGAGATTGAACTGTTATCGCGGTTGTCATAAAAGTATTCTGAGATCAATGTCATTTGACCCAGCGATATGTGTATTTGACCTTTCGGGTTAGCAAGCCATAGGTGACAGTAGCAACACCAATGTCGCGGATAAAAAAAAAGTATGTATGCACAGTACAATATTTTATTTACCTCTTCTGCATCTTCTCGTTTCCTTTTCTCTCCAGCTTTTCTATCTTTGCCGTGCTGACAATCGAACACTTTCCTTCCCAAAATTATGAAAGGCACACCAGTAAAACGAATTTTTGCTCCTTTAATGTCTCGTGGATCTTCCCAGAGTATTTTGTGACTTCTGTTCGAGTAATCTGTTTTTAAATTGTAATGGAAGATAGGCTCAGTAGAGCAAGGACGAGAGAGATACAAGCTAGCGCGACGTAACGCTTTCAAATATATATATATATATGCATATATCGTCGTCGATCCTGTTTCGAACTCCGCAATGAGTTTATACGCCTCATCAACAGAATTTACGTATCCGAAATTATCCGCATCTCTACCATCAGGCGAAGGTTCGCGCTTTAAAATTCCCGCCATGTTGTTTCTGTTTGTTCTTGGGGTGTTCGGCTATGTCTCCTCGCGGATTTCCGAGAATCTTCGGCTATGATTTGCAAGCTATTAAATATTCCATCTCAGTCCCTCTCGACCGAGGTGGTTTTGGTGGATGGAATCTAATGCTGACCCTATAAAACGATAAAATATCCTAACTGCACGGTGAACGAAACAAACGGACTATCAACGCCTTGTGTTCACCTTTCTCAAAAAACTGACCTCGCGAACATGTACGTCGATGACAAATAATCTAATAATTGAGACTGTTTCGGCAAATTCGAAGGGTTGCATTTAGTTTGTGGCACACACGCAACTGTCATCTTCAAATAAACCATATGCGCCGAAATCAGCAAGATCATTAAAACACCTTAAAGGAAAGGAAGCTTTGTCTGAATAATGCAGTAGAAAAGCAGTAGGCTTTGAAACTTTAACACTACTAACGTAATGAAAATGGTTCGCAAACCTTTAAGACGCAATCTTGAAATACGATGATGTATTTCTGGTGTGATAAGGTTCCAGCTGCAAGCATTCCATGGAATCTCTTCCATAACTTCACGGAATTAAACCTACATTTAGGATATACGAGTTGACGAAAAATTAGAAATAATCATTACAAAGATATTTCAAATAGCTACAAAATAGATTTCGAAACTAACGAGGATCATGTTTTGAGTCCGACGCAATATTCTTTCACACCAAAGTGTTGCCGCCGCATGATCGTGCAAGAAGAGCTATGAAGTAACGGAATTTCCTTTACAACATCTAACTTACCGTAACATCTTCAAGTCAAAAACTAGTTGTAGACTGTGAGGCCATTCCCGCGACAAGGTCAACGTGCACTGTTCGAATGGATCTTGCGATCTGTCATCATGTGTCACACCAACACGATCACGTGACTCCCTTCAGTTTAGGACGCGACACCACAGTATACGGTCAGCGGTCCTCGTTGAAAAATATTGTTATAGTTGAAATTTTTATCAGTACTGTCATTTTCATTCTTACCATTCTTTTATTAAAATCTTGATAATTTTCTACCACATAAATCAGCTTGGGAAAGCAGACTTATCTGTAGTTTTTGATTCCAGGAGCGGCATGCCAATAGAACGATCAAATTAGTTCTGCGAACAGTGGTGTACCCCTCTATCTGATCAGGTATTTTCAGGGCGTTAAAGGAACATTGCAGCATGATTGTCAAGTTAAACCCATGTTTGATTGGAAATTAGTACCCACGAGTGGTTGTAGAACGTGAGAAAGCCTTAATTCCCCCACGGAATTACGTATCTGGGTGTGGACCTCCTTGGCTAATAAGTGTGGTGACTTTTGTAACCTTAAGTTAGAATGGAGTAGAGTAGCTAGATCGTAGAGCGGAACGTGTAATGTTGGATTGTCGACAACAAAGCTGGATTATAGTGAAATAAAGTATACAGTATAAGATTACTAAACCAGTGTCGGCGGTAATTCTCAGTGACGCAAGTGGGAAATTCTGCGAAGATGTAGAATGGTACAGAATAATGTCGAAGAAGCTTTTCATGGTGAACTAGTTACTACACAACAAAAAGAAATGCATTTGTATCTTCAACTTCTTTAATGGCTCGATGTAGTTTGGCTGGTACGACAACTTGACAACTTACTGCTCAACTGATCTCTGAACACTAGGTTGTTGCACGCGTTCTTTGAAGAAATCAGGGAAGAAGTAACAAGAAATTGACTGTCTTTCATCGAACGAACACCTATCCTCAATCTAGGCTTGCGTAATGCCTTGCGCAGTAATTCGTTACTATACTGCACTTGCGCAAGAAATGATTAGCATACCGCTTACGCAAGTAATTCAGTGTTTACAACTAAGTTTAAAAACGTAAATTGGCCGCCGTAAAGGGTAAAAAAAGCTGACGTTTCGAGCGCTAGCCCTTCGTCCTTCGCTCTGACGAAGGGCTAACGCTCGAAACGTCAGCTTTTTTACCCTTTACGGTGGCCAATTTACGTTTTCAGCACAATTGTTGACACTAAATTACCTGCTATACTCTCCCACCAACGCAGCACCACAGTTTCTTTAGAAACTTACCCCCTTTATACTGCTAACGCAGTGTCGAAATTTTTTTCATGTTAAGTTTTCAGACCTTTTCACTAACGTTCATAGGTTGCTTGGTCAAAATCAACCATTGTAATCAATTTAAGATTACTAGGTACAATATTAAGAAGAGAAATTTAATTTTAACAACGGCACGTTTTTAAATGTTCAGTTTCGAGGTAACTACACAATAACCATCTCCAACGAGAGTAAACAGTCGGACATGAAACTGCCCACCAAAGATAACACCTACTTTGCTGAAAACCAGTTAATCAGTTTTGCTTCCAAAGAGCAAAGTTCGGTTAAAAGTTAACATCTGTAGCCCTAAAGCAAGCTATTGCCACGCATCCAATAACTTTGGGTAAGCTGGTGCAAACCGACTTAGAGTCATTGTTTTTGGGAAAAATTTTATCAATCTGTTCAAGTTGTATGTTATCAAACTTTAAAGATACTCTAGACTTTTAAACCCTTTCAAAAACAGCTGGTTAAAGCCGGCATATTTTATTATTTTAGTAAAACCTCGCCTGTTATTTCTTTTCTCTTTAATTTTGATTCAAGTGTCGTTGATCTTACTGTTCAAACAAACGAACTATTTTCAACGCAGCTTCTAATTCGAAATTTCATTTTATGCAAACCAACCCTGGCCCTGAGTTTCGATTCTGGTTAACAGGTTAACCGCTGCAAAAATGTTGTCTCAATCCATTTCGAATATCATTCATTCTCCATAAATACAGAGCTGGGTTGACTGAAGAGGATAAAAATATGAACACTATTGTCACTATTGTCTAAAGGCGGAATAAGATTCTAAGGTCCTGTTACCGAACCCAAAATATATCGTAGTCGATATAACATATGGAACGAAACATACAGAAAAGGTCAGCAAAATGTATATCATAGTCATTACCGACTTCTTGTATTTCGCTACGTTTATCGCTGATCCATCAAAATTATGTAGTGTTGTGTTGCATTGGATTTGCCGCTGGTGTCGACAAATACTTTGGTAAACCTTAACGTTGGCCATCATTATGATAAGATAACATGACACCATAACTGTAACAAGTTTGAATCGTAGCGCGCGTCCATAAACTGTATTTACATTCTCTAGAACACGTAAGACAGCCGGTGGAGTCGCAGTTAATATCAACGCGAAAACTGCAAAACATGCACGTCTCCGATTAAAGAATGATCGGCGAGAAACAATCAACCATCGTTCAATGGACATTGCCGTTAGGATTAAAACCGTGGCAGAAACGAAATAAATCCCGCTACCGTCACCGATTGTACGTAAGGCTCTGATAAGTGTTGGCGAGTCATACACCACAGTTGAATTCCCTGAACACATCAAAAACGTCGCAGAATAGAAAGGTTGGGCGAATACTCCCGTTCACAAATCAGTAAAAGCCAAACCACTTATAGAAGTATATGAAATGGTGTCCTCGCAAAATTCTTCCTCCATACCGCCGCCAAAATCATCGCATTTCCCGCCACTACCACAGGTGAGAGTAAAACGATGGTAATAGCTGTTGAGAGGAAAACAATGCGAGAGAAGGAGTCATTCCTGTCTTTGTTGAAAATGTGCGAGGTGCACGGCGTAAATGAGCTGCTTTGATGCTGAGAGTAAATACTAGAGTTGCTAAACATTATTTTCAGTGGTGTAGCACCAGGGAGATGAAAGATTTAAGCTATCCAGGTGCCCTCAGAGTTAGTAACTAACTCTTGAAATCCATATTACAATCCATTTTTGCTCTTTAGTCTGTAGATATTATTGTCGGAGACTTTGATTCGTGTGTGACACATGTCAGATGATGAGTGCGAACATTATGGACATTGAATGGTTTACATAATCAACGCAACCTTGAATGACCTTTTTAAAATCAATACTCGGCACCTTCATGGACTGGCCACGATTTTGGGGACAGTTTAGCGAGACCATCGACAAAACAAGCGTCGCGCCGATAACGAAATTCTCATACCTACGAGAACTGCTCGACTTCAAAGTAAAACGAACAATAGAGGCGTTACCCTTCACATCAGAGGGATACAATCGCGCAAAGAGCATCTTTGTAGAAAAGTACGGTAAAGAGTCTGAGATCGTGAAAGCATACACTAGAGAAATTTTGGACATTCCTTCAGTACAAAACGCGAATCCAAAGAAAATCAGCGAATTCAGCGAGAAATTAACATATTGCGTGCAGGCCTTGCAGACGCTTAAGAAACTCGAGCAAGTCAATGGGGCGGTGTCCATGACGCTAGACAAATTGCCAGCCATACGCGGAGACCTCGTTCGAACAGATCCAGATTGGGAGAGCTGGGATTTCGCTAGTCTTTCCGAAGCAATTCGACTGTGGGCGAGACGGAATCCGGCGGAAATGACACGAACTGAGCGCGAACAAGAGCAATCAGCCAAAAGATTTACACGCCCAACCAAAATGTATCATGCGCGTCGAGAACTCCCTGGACCTCGTGGTTGTGTATACTGCGGCGAAGATCACAGACCTGTGGAATGCACAAAGATTAAGGGCCTGTCAGATCGCAGACAAATTTTACTAAATAAGCGTTTATGTTTCAATTGTGTGTCTGGGAACCACCGCGCGTTCTATTGTCCGAGCAAATCAGCCTGTCAACGCTGCCATAAGCGTCACCACACGTCGATTTGTGACACACCAAACCCGACAAGCCAAGTTAACCAGCCACCAGCACATGGAGTCGCTTTGACAACAAACCAAACTGTAGAGGGTCTATTCCCAGTAGTCATCATAGATGTCAACGGAATTAAATGCAGAGCGCTTATCGATTCTGGAGCAGGCAGTTCGTACGTGTCGGCAAAGCTGATCGAACTACTTCGCTTAAAGCCAACCGATGTCCAGACAAAAACGATCGATATGCTGATGTCCTCTAAGATTGCCAGACTCGAAGTCTACGATCTCGAACTAAGATCTGTCAACCATCAATTTTCGCTGTCAGTCAAAGCTACCAAAGTGAACAAGACAGAGTTGTTGTCTATTGAAAACCCTAATTATCGCACGCTAATTGAGAAGCACCCACACTTGAAAGGCGTAAATGTTTACGATGATGACACAAAAGCGTCTCTTCCGGTTCACGTGGTGCTTGGCAGTGGGGAATACGCCAGAATTAAAACGGAAACAAAGCCAAGAATTGGACAAGAGAATGACCCTATCGCAGAACTCACCAAATTCGGATGGTTTCTGATGTCCCCGGGAAAGGAGTTTGACAAAAACACCATGCTTCTCACCCAGACAAGTCAAAGCAACTACGAAGATCTGTGCAGATTGGACGTCTTGGGATTGCGTGATATAGCAGATCATGACCAGTCGATGGTATTTGATGAGTTTAAGGAACGCCTAACGCGCTCGCCAGAAGGTTGGTACGAGACCACCCTCCCATGGAAAGCTAACCACGCAGAACTGCCCTCAAACAAGGAAGGTAGCTTAAAACGACTCAAGAACCTCAGTAGAAAACTTCAACGCGAGGGACTGACGGCTTAATACGACGCGATAATTCAAGAACAGCTGGCAGAAGGCGTTATCGAAAAGGCACCCCCTGTTTCACAGCCACAGAAAGAGTTCTACATCCCTCACAAGAGCGTGATTCGCAAGTCCGCTGAAACTACAAAGATGCGGATCGTCTATGACGCCTCAGCCCGAGCGACACCCGATTCACCATCACTGAATGACTGTCTGTACCCAGGGCCTGCGCTGCAAAACAAACTATGGGACGTTCTAATTCAGCAGAGAGCCTACCCAGTTGTCCTAGCGGGAGACATTAAGAAAGCCTTCCTACAAATCCGGATTGTGAACGAGATGCCCTCCGTTTTCACTGGCAGAAGATTCGGACTCGGAAGTGCAGACATTCCGGTTCACGAATTACTCTTTGGGCTCGCCCCTCACCCTTTCTACTAGGTGGGGTTCTTGAATGCCATTCGATACCTATTCAAAATACCCGGAGGAGGTATAGCTAAGTTTCTACGTAGGCGACCTGTTGACAGGCGGTCAAGACGTACAGCAAGCAAAAGCACGAAAGGAGGTGAGGCAAAAAATTATGAAGGACGCCACATTTGAGTTACACAAATGGCACTCAAATCATGCACAGCTGGAAGATGACACCCAACCTGCACAAGGAGAGGAAGTTGCCCAGCCTACTTTACGTAAAAACAGCGCCCAAGCCACATCAAGCGAACGTCAGTCTTATGCAAAACAACAGTTACTAGTCAAGCCAAGTGAGTCAAAGCTATTGGGCGTAAAATGGGACAAATTCGAAGATACTATCGCCGTGCAGTTCCCAACCGCGAGTAGTGCACCGACAAAACGTGAAGTACTGGCCAAACTAGCGAAAGTGTACGACCCCCTTGGCTTAGCGCCCCCCATTACACTGCAAGGGAAGCAAATCTACCGAGAACTTGCGACTGCAGCGGTATCCGGACGCACCTATCCCAGAGAATCTGAAAATACGCTGGCAAAGGTGGGAGCAGTCACCGACGGAAGTAACCACTCGAAGACCCTTAGCACCTTACCAACAACCAGTCATCTCCGCTGAGCTGCATGTGTTTGGGGATGCGTCAACTTATGGGGTTGGAGCAGTGGTGTATTCAGTCGTACGCCAAGAAGATGGAATCACTCAAACCCTGGTTGCAGCAAAAGCAAGATTAGCCAAGAGAGAACTAACCGTCCCCAGGTTGGAGTTAGTCAGCGCTCACATGGCTACCAATTTAGTCATCAACGTAAGAAACGCTCTAAAAGAACTACCCGAACCCATGATCTACGGTTGGCTGGACAGCACCGTCGCCCTCCACTGGATTGTAGGAAATGGTCAGTACCGACAGTTCGTCTCTAACCGCGTGCAAAAAATAAGACAATACCCACAGATCCAGTGGAGACACGTGCCCACTACCGATAACCCAGCGGACCTGGCGAGTCGAGGAGGCCAGGTAACCAACGCAGAGCTTTGGTGGAATGGCCCAGCGTGGCTACGTAACCCTGAAATGTGGCCAGAGAACCTGGTTACCGTGAAATCCGAAACCTCAGAAGAAGAGGCAAAAGTCATCCGAGAAGTGCTAAGCCTAGCAAATGAGAAACCTGAACAAGAACGGAACGTGTTCGACGAACTCCTAGAACGCCATGATTTACGCCGAGCTCTTCGCATCCAAGCTTGGGCGCGACGGTTCACCACTCACAGGGTGCGCAAGGGACCTCTTACTAGCGAAGACATTCAAGAGACCAAGAACTGGTGGATAGAAAGAGTCCAGTCTCAAGATTTACAGAAACCACACTTTGAACAGACCAGGCAGAAACTGAACCTCGTTTCCAATGCAGATAGAATTCTCGAATGTCATGGAAGAATTCAAGGAAAATACCCAGTGTACCTGCCAGCAGACGCCGTCTTTACGAGGAAGCTTGTACAGAGGATTCATGTCGAAACCTTACATGGAGGTGTGGCCCTTACCATGGCAGTGATTCGTGAACAGTACTGGATCCCAACCCTGAGACAGCTAGTGAAGTCTGTGCGATCTGCTTGTTGGGGCTGTAAACGTTTCATAGCTTCACCCTTAACAGTACCACCCCCTGGACCACTGCCTACAGACCGTACAGATGGTGGAACAACCTTCGAAGTTATTGGCACGGATTTTGCTGGTCCTATCAAGTACAAACAACGCAAGAAGGGCGAGGAGAAAGCTTACTTGGTTATCTTCACGTGTAGCCTGTCCAGAGCCGTGCACCTAGAATTATTGTCTAGTCTAGAGACAAGCAATTTTATTACCTGTCTTAAACGCCTCATCGCTCGCCGCGGCAGACCGCGCGTTATCTACTCAGACAATGGAGGCACCTTTATCAAGGCTGCGAAATGGCTTCGCCAATTGCGAGGAGATGAGCGCCTCCAAAGTCTCCTTGAAGATTACGACATAACCTGGAAATTTAACTTAAGCCGGGCTCCTTGGTGGGGAGGACAATTCGAGCGGTTGATTGGAGTCGTAAAGTCCGCCATGTACAAAGTCATTGGGGGAGGTGTACTTACCTGGACTGAGCTGAGCGAGGTACTGCTCGACGTGGAAACACAAATCAATCGACGTCCATTAAGTTATGTAGAAGATGATGTCGAGCTACCAACACTTACACCGTCAACATTCCTGTTTCAGCGAACTAGTCAGCTGCCAGAAGAGAAAACAGGGAGGATCAAAGACCTGGACCTACGCAAACGTGCTAAATACCTCAGGAACTGCAAGAACAATCTCTGGAGGTGGTGGCAGAGAGAATATTTAACAGCTTTAAGGGAGCGGCACAACCTGACACACAAAGCGGCCAAATTTCAGCCAAATGTTGGAGATGTTGTAATTATAAAGACCGAAAACAAGAATCGTGGGAGTTGGCCACTGGCGATAGTAAACAAAACCTATCCCGGGAAGGACGGAATCATCCGCGCAGTTCAACTCAAGACAGCAAACGGACTGTTAGAGAGGCCTGTTCAACACCTGTACCCTCTTGAGCTAAACTGCGACCAGGCTTGTGAGACACATGCAGACACTCCCACAGCAGATTTGAACCCAAACGCACTAGTTTTCAGGCCCAGACGGGATGCTGCAGTTGCTGCCAGAGCCCGAATCCAGGACCTTGCTGAAGATGAACAATGAATCACAATTTCCTTTTCACTGAACTTCAAAATTGTGAACTTAATTGAAACGTTTGATTTATAGAGAACTTTTTCGTTTAGTTGAATTCGTTAAGTCTCCTAGGTGAATGCACCCTTACACGCAATGTTGCATGGGGGAGTGTGTCGGAGACTTTGATTCGTGCGTGACACATGTCAGATGATGAGTGCGAACATTATGGACATTGAATGGTTTACATAATCAACGCAACCTTGAATGACCTTTTTAAAATCAGTACTCGGCAACAACCAATCACAATGTAGAAAATATCGTATAAGAGAGTGATTTCTTACAAATTTTGCAGAGTAGCTTTTTACACACCCGATGTAAATAAGCGAATACGAGAGCGGAATAAAACAGTTTAATTGAGTACCGTTCGTTAGAATTCTATCCCTAGTAAACAGGACAAAGTTTACAAAAATTATTTAGTATATCGCCTCCTCTTTTAACTGACCCTGCGATTATTGTGTGTCCACGTTTAAAACGTTTTGAGTTGCATTGAGTATTTGTATTTGCGGGTGAGTGCTAAAGAACAAAAATAATAGGAAGGCGAAAGCAAATATCGAAAATACACCAACAGAGCTTGTCAAATTGATATTAAAATCAGGTGATAAAAGTGTATTGACACAGCTTTACTTGAACTATTGCCTTAATTAGTTTTATAATCGTTTTTGCTGTAAGTTGAGTTCCTCCTTCTTGCATTTGAAAATAATTCAGAACCCTTGCCTTTATCTTTAGAAGTTTAGTTGCCATAGTAAAATGTTTACATATGATTGTCAACTCGACGAGCTTTCTGTGCAAGATACTGCAGCAGGAGCACAGGTGGCCCAAGCTCCAGCTGTGAGATGATTATCTTGCGCAATAACAGTCATGGCGGAGTTATAAGAGTTTGTATGGGAATATTTACGACCGTTTTAAGGAATAAAAAAATACGTCAAATCCTCAATAAAAATACCGCACCTTACTTCCACAGTGTATCGCTTGTTATCTGACCGCTTACTTTGATGAAAAGAGCCCATTTTAGCGAGTTGTTTATTTCGAGGTTTTCAACGTACATAAGAAAAGCCCTGGGCTTAAAGCGGTCGTAAATATTCCCATACAAACTCTTATAATTCCGCTATGACTGTTATTGCGCAAGATGATCATCTCACAGCTGGAGCTTGGGCCGCCTGTGGCTCATGGTAACCAGGCATAGCTTTCGTGAATGTGTTTCCCACGATCTTCTGAACTAAAATTCTTTGTTTGCGCTCTTAACTGACAAAAAGGCATTCTGATTCTTCCCAATGGGCGCTGTCATGCAAATCGTTCCTTCCACTGGATCGATTAGGCCGGAAAATCCGTCGAATATTAGGCTGGATAATCCCTCGAAAAGTTAAAGGTTCAGTAATCCCTCCAAAGGGCTGAATAATCCCTCGAAAGGGCTTGATAATCCCTCGAAAGGGCTTGACAATCTCTCGAAAGTGATGAATAATCCCTCGAAAGGGCTCAATTATCCCCATTTTAAGGGGATTGTTTGCTAACTGATCGTGGATCATCGAAGTCACAGGCGTCTCCAAAAGTGCATTCCCATTGTTCGCTGCCTACAGAGCCGATAAAGTCGTGACTTCTCCGCCATTTAAGATCGTCAAATGATATAGATGGCTCGATTGGAGACACTTTACCAACAGTGCACCCGGTAAAGATGGATACTTGCCAAAAAAACTCGACGTCACTCCATTCAACGAAGACAGGGCGCCGCATTCATATGCTAATCTACACGTCGATTTCGCCGTAATATTTCGGGCATAAACTCTTTGAAGGGATTGACAACAGCTAACAAATACTTCGCAAAAACACATCCAGTTAAAGCTATGCCTGCTTGAGTAACGTACGTCGTAGAAAATCACCTTACAAAATGCTCTACTCACCCAAACGAAGTCAGCTAATCCTCGATCCAAAGACAACTCATCCTCGATCAAAAGACAACTCTCAACCTTACGAACGTTGACAGGTTTCAAGAACCGGAAGGCTACCGACAAATCAATCGTACCTGTTATCGTCTCGATCAAAAGAGATCTGCGCATGCTCGGCATTAATTAACTCCGAAAATTCTTTTTTCACTCGTTTTTGGTTAACGGACAGACACGATGGCAAGGAATCTACGCGCCTGCGGCCGTGGATTCATAAAAAGAAAAGCATGAATTACACCTAAATTGTGTGACTTTATCCCTCTACAGTCTAGCATCAGTATGCAGATTCTCCGTACTGTTCTCTATACATTCCGTAAGGTGCTGACAAGGAGAATTTGTTTAACAATCAAGAGATTCTTCAATTGGTGTTCATTTTATTCATTCTAATGACCTTAACCATTCAACTCCCAAGATCTGATTGTTAATTCTCCCCTCTAGCTGCTACACATTTCCTAGTATATTAGTTGCAAGAATTTGATGCTAGATCAAGATAAAAACTTAACCCTGATAAGTTTGAGTATTCTCATCATTGCTTTACTTGATAATGTATGGATATTAAAGGGAGAAGTTATATTTCAATACTTCTGGGAGTTAACGGGTCAATGTGTGACTCAGGGGTGATATCATATGGAGAAAGTACATCCTGGTCACTCTTAGGGTTGTAATTAAAAATATTTTTGCATACTTATTCTTTCCACTGTGTTCTTCAGAGGTGTTTGCTTGTCTCCTCCAATAAATCCACAACAATTTGGTGCTTCACAATGGCAAATCTGAGCAACTTTCCTGATTAATGACAAATATTATAACTATGAATTTTTTGTAAGCTTCTCCTTCCCAGTTCAAAGGGATCTTCTTTCTGTGTGACTGCTGTACAGTTCCTCAAATTTTAAAATCTCTCAGTTTAGTGTCACTTACAAACATGAAGCTTTGACAGTAGAATGTACATTGTCCACCTACCCAAAACACTGCAGTTTATAATCGAACGTGAGCTCTGCACCAGCTGGGATGGGTCTCTGAGTAAAAAATCCAATCCTCAACAAGCAATGGACAGTCCACTGCAAGAAGCAAAAGAACAAAACCCATTCAGTTCCGATCTTAACCCTTTACACCAGAACATCAGTATGCACACTCTCCATACTGTTCTTTATACAACTCCTAAGGAGCTGACAAGGAGCATTTGTTAAGCAATCAAGAGCTTCTTAAGTTACTGATCATGTCCTTAATTCTCATGACCTACAGGTTTGATTCAGGGGTAATATTATGAGGAGAAATTGGATGCTAGTCACTCTTGAGGGTTAAAGGATTTAAGTACAGCTGTAGATGTGTTTTCTTTCAGTTTCCTGTCAATCAATCTACTGTCGATTACTTCTGGAAAAAGAAGTGAAAAACCGGCATTATTGATCATAATATAAACTGGTAAAATGGACTGAACAATTTATTAAACTACCTTTTGAGTTTCACAGTTTGAGTCACAGCTGTGGTTGATAAATCAAGACAAGTTCCCCTTGTAGGTGGCATCAATTAGCTGAACAAAGAAGGAATTTTAAAGAAGCTATAACTCATTAAGTAACAAAACCATGAACTATAATGATTTGTCCACCTACATGTACTGTATTATGTATAATATTTAAAGAGAAGGGCGCTTATTGGAAGGAGGGCTCTGAATTGAGGGGGGTGCTTATCACCTTCCCATACTGATTGCCCTATGGTGGAGGCAATAGAAACAGGTTTTCCTTGTGTCCCTTTTATTTAGGAAAGTGAGGAAGGAGGGGGGAGATGCTTCTTTTGAGATGGATGCTTAAGGCCTGAGGGATGCACTTATTTGGGAGAGGGTGCTTATCAGAGCTTGGGCTCTAATGCAAGGAATAAGTGTATATCAAAATTTCATTCCCCACAATGGATGATTTCAACATCATTTACTCAGGCTCAATGCTAGATGTAAGTCATATATAAATCTAGTAAACAACTTGGCTGGCTATGGAGTTCCTCATAGCTCAGTTGATAAAGAATTTGAAAATGATAACAGGCTGGAGATCATAACATTAAACTGACTGAAGTACATGCCATTTAAATATGTTTTTTGTCCACATAGTTGACAATTGAATAACAGTTAACCCTTTAACTCCCAAGATCTGATTGTTAATTCTCCCCTCTAGCTGCTACACATCTCCTTGTAAATTGGTTATGAGAACTTGGTGCTAGATCAAGATAGCAGCTTCTCCATGATAAGTTTGAATATTCTCATTATCTGTTTGCTGAATAATGTATAGATATTATTGGGAGAAGTTTCTTGTCAATCACTTCTGGGAGTTAAAGGGTTAAGCAGGATTTTAGATACGAATCACAGAAGGCCGCAAGGAGGAGGGACTAAGGAGAGAAGGGACACCTCCTGACAAATGCGCAACCAAATGAAGGGGTCTAGGGGCACACCAACATTCCTCCCACCCCTCCCTCCATAAAAATCTAAAACTTGGGTCTCAGAGAATGTATTTTGTGCACTTTGAAGTAATAATCAGGTCATTTCCATGAAACCAATCATTGTTATTTAATTCAGCAAAAGGAGCAAAATCATATGAAGTGGCCTACTAGGTTAACAGACCACCAGCCCTTCTTGAAAATCCTGCTCACTTTTACTAAGATGTCATTACTATACAGTATAGTGATCTGCTGATCAATTCTGGGTTTGGAAAGCCTTAAAATGACCAAAGAATTTACCAGCACTCATCACAGCAGTGCTGTTATTGTCTCTACTTAGGAAAAGGTTAAGATTTCCACTCCTTACCTCATCAGCTCTCAATGTCATGAAGTAGTAGTGTCTTCTGTTTTCTCTATCATAACACTCTGCTCTTTCCTGGAAATCTTTGTAGTTCATGACTTCTCCACAGTACTCCATACCAGACTGATTCCTGGACAACAGTTACAATTTTTAATTGAGTGCCATAAGTATTGGGGATTGTTTTTGTTTTTTGCTATACTCTGCTCTGTGATTGGTCCAAAAAAAAAAGGAAGGTGAAAACACGAAATTACAGACCTGCAAAATTGAGTACAATTAAGGCATTTCTTTCCTGAAGATATAAGTAAAAATATAAACTTACAGTTCCAGATCTTCAAGAGTTCTCAATTCCCAGCCTTTCTTCTCTGTTTTAAACACTTCAACTTTCACTTTACAGCCCTGCAAAAAGTGTTGTACATGTACGTAAATTTGAAATCCTCTCATGGCTGATATCAGCATATAAGAATCATCTCTCATGAAAGCATATTTAACTCCCAGAAGTGATTAAGATGTAACTTCCCCCTATAATATCCATATATCATCCAGCAACAGGTAAGGAGAATACTCAAACTTATCAGGTAGAATTTGTTAAATTGATTGCACACCAAATTCTCATCACTACTTTAAAATGAAATGTGTAGCAGCTAGAGGAGAGAATGAACAATCAGATCTTGGGAGTTAAAGGGTTAAAATACCCATTATCTTTGTTAAAGAGGCAGTTGCTTCAACAGCTAACCCTTACCATCTCAGTAACATCAATCTTAATCCTGTAATGATAGTTTCACTAACCTGTTGAAAACGTTTATTGCTACACATCTCTCTGCAAGCACTTCTGCTGTTACTATTTGGAGATCAATAAAAGACAATGTGAGAAGGAAGACTTTTGGCAAAATTAACCAACAAGAGAGGAAAAGAATACCAACCATTCTATCATCAACAATCTGTTCAGACAGTCCTTGCCACAACCACTAGAACATGGATCATCTGTTAAAAAACATTGCAATATGTTCAACAGTAAAAAATTGGATCAATGTCAGTATCTGATCAACAGAGCACCTACCCCTCCCCTAACCCAACATTAATCCTAACTTGTTATCAATTGACTGTGGTTGAATTAGGGGAGGAGTAGGTGTGCATTTGTTCAGTTACTAACATTGATCCAGGAGACCACAGATGATGTTGAAATGTGGTAAGAACAAAAAAAGTGGCACACAAAGCACAGCTGAGTGTGTCACTGATGTTTGTACCTCAATGTAAACATGGAATCTATATATCATTAAAAGGCAAAGGGTAGGTCACGCTCAGCTTATCTCATAAAATGAGGTAAGTTCATGTGTTCTAAATTGCCCATAACCATATTCAGCATATGGTGAAGTCTATGCATCAAAGCCGTTACCTTACCAGGATCTAAGGTACAATCGCACTGCATTCTGTGCACTTCCTTGTTGACTTTCTTCTTTCTGAAACATGAAATGAAAAACATGTAAGCTCAGTAACAGCAACAAGTTGTTTGAAAGGTAGAAAACTCAACTATTTTGCACTATGAAATAATTAAACACTGCTAATAGCAATTAAACATAAAACCCACCCATCAAATAAGTACTCATTCTCTTCAATATGCTTACAGTAAGGTGGTTGACATTCTTCAGCTGAAGAAATGACATGCTCCCCAGACACCTGGAAAAGTAACAGCATTCATAGGTATTTTCAGGTACTTTTAATGTTAAAAGTGGAAAATTTCAGGAAGATCCATGGACTTCAAGACATATGGTAACTATCTAGTGCTTCACACACCAAGTGGAGTGACAAATAAACAGTTATTAGGCAGTTAGGCAGCAAATATATACACTGTTCACAAAGTTAGGTGACCACCAGAAAAAAAAAGATTGCAGTGAGAACAACAATAATAAGACATAGTCAAGTGATTTTACATTGATCAATTTAAGAGCCGTTTTCTCCCACAGAGTTTCCAGTGAAACTATTATCTACCTCAACTCTGAATGAGTTGTAGGCTTATCCATAGAAAACAAAGAAAACAAAAGAAGTGGGCTGTCCGAAAAGACCTACTGGGTATTTCAGGTTTATACAAATTTTTTACAATTCCAAGTTAAAATTTCCCTTTCTTGTGCCTTTCAGTTATACTGATTTATATGCACAAGATGTGTAGCTTGAGTTTGCTAAAACTTAAGGTTAACTGATTTTGTTGTTATCGAAGTACTCCACTGTGTAGGTGAATCTTGGATACATAACAAATTGTTGAGTTGGCTTGTTATGATGCACTTATGATGACTTAAATTGTAGTGAAGATTCCAACTCAGATCTGTATGAATCAGTGGAAGACATCACACATTGTCTACCTTTTAAAGTTATAGGAACTTGCTATTCTGAAAAATTCCAGAAAGCATTACAGGATACCTATGAGTATCACTATGAAAACCATAAACACACCTTTGCTAATCTTAAGGATGAACCTGACAAACTGTACATATAACAAAAAAGCAATTAGAGTATATATAATGTCTTCCTCAGACTATGAGAAACTTACTGAATTAACAAGATTTGTATATCCCCTACTAAAGGATCCAAAACTGGAGGTGACAGTGAAGCAAATCAGGTTTTGTACCACATTTGTTGTGAATAGTTTTTACTTAACAATTGAAATTTCCACAACTGGTCTTTGGGAGAAGCCATACAGAGATTAAAGCCAGCTGCAGAGTAAAGTGATAGGAATTAAATGTTCACAAAGAGTGAATCCTGCAAAATGGCAAAATTAAGGAGTTCTATTTAATTTCTGCAAGTAATTTCCATGAGAGAGATATCTATTTTATGTAAAATTTCACTTGCATCACAAGCATAGCACTGTCTGGTCTGGGACTGACTTTTCAGAGACATTTGTGCAATACAAACCATTTCATAGCACTAAACATGGAATAACCTTCCGGCCCTCTTGTTGCCCTGATTTGTTATGGCCTTGGCTATATAAATACACCGCTGCACAACTAAGATATTTCTGACAAAGTTGAAGTTAATAAAAATATTGATGAATCTAGTAAGTATCACAAAGTGATGTATAACCACAGGCGGCCCATGCTCCAGCTGTGAGATGATCATCTTGCGAAATAAGAGTTATGGTGAAATTACAAGAGTTTGTATGGGAATATTTACGACCGCTGTTAGGAATAAAAAGTACGGTCAAATTCTCAATAAAAATACCTCACCTTACTTCCACAGTGTATCACTTGCTGTCTGACCACTTACTATGTTGAAAAGAACCCATTTTTGCGAGTTATCCATTTCTAGGTTTATTACGTACATAGGAAAAGCCCAAGGCTGCACACTCCATTTCCGAACGCCCGATCCGAGAAGCGAAAAATACGAGCTCAAAATGACCGGGCGGCCACAAGTCCAACGCAGAATCCAAGCACATATACTGTAGTTTCATTTCAATTCACTTCAAACTTAATCGCACTTTGCTTCAATAATTTCCAGTTTAGCCGCGTATACATTCACCTTTACCACGACCATTAAAAACCAGCTTGGTAACCCTTCCTCCTTTTAAAACTGAGCCTCGCCGGGGATCACACTGTAACTTGACATACGGGGGGCGCCATATTGACACCCTTGGTTCTAGGACAATTTCTTCATGCCAAGCGACGACTGGATTTCTGAGCCAAAGACGATGTTATCGCTGCTTTATTTACACTTGAGAAATAGTATTCAGGATAAGTACACGATTGAATTACGTGACAGAGTCACTGGTCACGGTGTATTTCAGTGTGTGCTGTTATCGTCAGTTGTACTAAATAAATTCTGCAGTTTGGTGTTGAAACGTTTATACAGTTTTGAGTAGCGCATGCTGTCAGAACTCAAATATGAAATAAAAGAATCCAAATTATTAAAAAAGAGTTTACCACTTAAATGTTGACAGAGCGCTAATCAAATTATGATATTCGATACGTTGTTGTTGACGTCATCGTCACGAGATAGTAAAATTTGTCAAATTTTGGCCTTTTAGAATGTTTAGAGTATCAATCGGTGTGGTCTAAAGGTTCTTCCCTACTATCTTTTAAGCTTAAAATGGTTTAAATCTAAGATTTATTAAGCTGCTTATATAAAACGGTCGGAGTTTGCTCAATGAACTAATTTGCATAATCGGCTGTCACGCTAGCAAAATTGCTGTTCATGTTGGATAGTTTCTCACAGTTTCCACGCCAAGGGAATTGTCGGTGAAAAGGCGCTCGGTACATACATTAGAGTAACGCTCCACAAATAAAAGATTGCCCTGCGCTTGGTCTGATAAAAATCCTACGCAAATCGGCCAACGACAAGCGGACAAAGTTAAAGGGTAATTGATAATACTTAAAGGACCTTTTCCACTGAAGCTTACGTTTGGCCGTTACGTTCAGCGGGCCTGGGGAAGAGAATGACTATGGAACCTACAGTCGAACAGGAACAGACAACCACATTTTATTGGCTGCTTGATATGACTGACGTATGGTGTGTGTTGGAAAAAACTTTAAGGACGAAAAGAGATGGTTAAAGTTATTTTCGAAACAGGGCACTGAAGGCTACAGATTGTGGTAAGTACTGTCTGTGAAAACACCTGATTCACTTCCATCATGATTAGAACATCGGTTTTTAAAACTGCTTCAAACCTCGTCCTGTTATGAATGATGTGATAAATGACTTGGCGGAAGAGAATTCTAACATGTGCGATAGAAATTGAAAGAAATTCCTAAACGTCAAAGTCGGTTAAACGTTTTTAACCCCACCTAGACCGACCAAACATCGACTAAATTCGACGAATGAACTGGTATTTTAACCGACACTGGACATGATGATTTCTTTCAAGCTACCTTCTCTGAAGATTAAATTCCGACATCCTCTGAGTTAGCCGAAGGGCCATCTACTAACGCACCAACCTAGCGCAGAATTCCAACCGTTATGTGAAAAATATGAATTCCGAATGTCCATTACAAAATCTTAAATGAAATTCATTTTGTTCTTTCCAATGAAGGAAAGATAAGGAGAGACGGATATTTGTCATCCTTCTTTTGAAGCGCCATCTGATGAAAATATATTTCGGTTTTGTAAGTCTAACTTTTTTACCGATGACGGATGTGAGCATGCAAAAATGAAACAATTCACTTTTGTTGCAGGTAACATCCGGTCTCAGTATATATTGTTTTGCAAGAACCGTTGGATTTTTAACCCAAAATTACAAACAAGACTCGTTACAGTACTGAATTGGAGCTTCTGTCTTGAAACGGTAAGCTATTTGTGCTCGATGACTATCTCTTCACGAGCTGTTCATTTTCCAGTTACTGCGATCTGCGTCATCGAAGACTAAGTTGGTAAATAAGAGGAACGGCCGGGTTGATAAGTGTTGTACCCTTAAAAGACAACACAGTGCTATCTTCGTTTATCTCTTAAGGGTGTTAATCTAAATAAGACGGAAATATTGTAACAATCAAGTGATGTCATGATCGAGAGGATCTCGCTTGGCTTCATGTAAGAGATGATCAACAAATGATACCTCTTTTAGGGAGGGGAGGGAAAGGTGAATAATGAACCTGAACCACTCTTACAAAGAGGAATTTTCCTAAGAATGTACAACATCGGTCATCTATTTGAGTTTACACATTCTCTTTATTCGGGCAAGCGATTTAAACTTGAAAAGTAGTGCACCGGGCGATTAGCTGAATTATGAAAAGTTGAAAATTTTATTTCTCGTGATATTCTCGGGCCTTGTCGTATTGACCAAGTGATCGAAACAAAGTTGCTAGGTTTCCGTAGCTTGTTCAGTACTTTTCAAGAATTTGAAAATAATTTTCTAATTCTTGAAAAGACTTTTACCTGATTAGGTTAAGTTTTTCCCACAGATTCTTTTCCTGAATCTCATCGGAACTTCCTTCAAAGAACGAATGATTTTTCATTCGGATGTCAGGTACTCCTGACTACTCGGAATTTTCCGGAAGTTTCACTTTCCAATAGTAATGGATAATTGGGGTGGGTATATTTTTTTTAACGAGGAGAGGGATGGAAAGGAGTTTTATAGCAGCATCTAACAAGGATTCAGGAGCAAAACATGATGTTTCATTATTATTACTGCTGGGGGAGCTGAGTTACAAGCAACCGAAGATCCTTTTGGTTACCCTCCTGAGTAGTCTGAGTAGGTAAAGCTGTTGTTACCAATTTCTAATATCTTGAAGGAAAAATGAAAACTGTGATCAAAGACATTCAACACAAATAGTGAAAACATAAACTTATACACTCTCAGATAATATTTTGAGGAATTGGGGTTTTCTTTTCTAAAACGATCAGTTATGTACAGGCCGTTAACAGCAAATACAGCAGAACTGGAAATGATTTGAAAATCAAATTTGTTTCTACTGACTAAACGGAAAATTTCGCCGGGCGACATCCTTAGTTTACACTTGACGCTATAAAATCTACAATTAAAGATGTTACGGCATACAAGAGTAGTGACGTTTTACCCCGAAAGGAAAAAACTTGTGAAAAATTAAACTTTTCGCCAGATATCAACACGACCTCCAATGCTATTCCTAAATATTAAAATGGCTGGCTGAGGAAAATATCATAAACTTATAAAAATTTTGGTATCGAGTGATTGTTTTTCTCCTGAGTCATCAAATAATTCTTTGCCGGAACGCAACGGGTAACTTATCATTTTTATGTCGAAAAGAAACAATATTTATTTACTTTACGGTCATTTCATTTGTAGTCTATGAAAAGGAACAAAACTGGCCCCCACGAACTACGCCCCATCAATTTTTGTCCGAAATTTGGGCGATCGCCTTTTCAGTAGAAAATAACTGACTCCGAAAGAAAGACTTTGACAGATTGGTATAAATTTTCTCGACGGTTCTTGGCTTTATGCCGATTCTGTCCGTTTACTTTCAGTTTGATGGCGTGACAAGAGACAAAAAAATAATTTTGGTAAATTACCGACTATTTACCATGGAGTTTTTCTACTTTTTCAGGAAAAAGTTGACTTCCTTCGGACGATCTTATACAAGTCCCTTTGCCATCATTAAAATGAATAAGGAACGTTCCAAAAGGAAATTCGCATCAATGCTGACTGTTTTAGAAATCCAAACAACACTAGTATCGTTATGAAAGCTTCAAAAAACTTATCATAAGAATAACAACATAAAGTGCATATAGAAATATCATTCCCCCCCCCCCCTCCCTTTGAAAAGAAGCTATGGCTTCTTACATTGAATGAGATATTTAAAGGAAAAAAATACTATTGTTTATATTTCGATATCTTATAATACTTTTCCAAAAACATCGACAAATAATGCACTTATTTCAAGGATTTACACAATCAAAATGCAAGATCATCAAATAAAGTGCATATCGATGATGCACGGACAATTATAACAAACACGCCATAGAGTACAGGACCTTCATTCAGAGGTAGCTAATATGGAACATTCTCCGAACACATGCAAAACCTGTGAGTCATAATAAATTTTTAATTTAGGAAGCAGATCAAAGGAAACTTACTTTATTATTTAATTTCTAGAAACGCGAACTTGTTGCAAGGAAATGCGATTATTATTAAGACATGTAGCAAAGAAACAAATGAAGTAACGTTGGGATAAGAAGGCATTACAATTGCAAAATGGTAGAGGAAAGACCAGATCTACAAACGCCTTTGCAGCAAACAAACGAGCAAACTCTCACAACTTCAAATTAAAAAATTTGCTATTGCATTTGACAAGGGTGAATGATGTCGTGTGTTTTAAACATATGTCATTTTTGTTTCTGGTTCAAAAGAAAAGGTTGGAAGTAAATGTGGGTGAAAAGTAAAATTTACTGTCTATCATTTTAAATATTGGAAAATCAAGGCAATACTGTCTTAATGAAAACATACATATAATGATTCCCTTTATTATTCTTTATCAAATGAGACAAACGGGAACGAGGTGTCAGTGCTATAACTCAGCCCAACTGCCACCGTCATTTCATTTGGATTTCCGCCTGGGTAGATTTTGGTCACGTGTTAGGCAACGTTTAATCAAGAACAAGATAGAATTTCATTTCAGGCCTATTTATCAATTTTGTGGTGTATAACTTTCGCATTTTAGTACGTAATATTTCTTTTGAATCTTCAAATTGTCTTGAAACTTAAAAGAAAATTGTTCTTTAAAAATTCACTAAAATTCGGTAGCCAAAATTATTTGTTTAGGTGTTATTTGATTTTCGTGTTAACCTGTAATTTCGTCAGTCGCCGGCACCTTCTGTTGCTTCACACAGAAAAAACACAAGATGCGATGTGTAATGATCGATTTTGTCCCCAATCTGACGCCATAACTAACAGAAAAACCTTTAGAACACCTGTAAACTCCGAGCGCTTCGGAGTAAGTGATATTTTTAATGAATCTTCGGATTGTTTTCAAGTTCAAGGATTGTAAATTAAAATTTTATGAAAAACGAATGTTGTTCTCTTATTTCAGTGTGAATCCTCGCACGCCTGCCAGTCGCTGGCGCAGCTTGTTGAAACTAAAATGAAAAAAAATAAAGTCTTTTAAGATCATCATTGGCTTCTTTTTCACCCCACCACTATTCTTAGCAACAAAGGTCGCCATTTCGTTTGTTTATCACTCGCCAAAAAACTATCAAATGCACTCAAAGCCTAAAATCGAAAAAAAGTTTACAGGAATCGACCAATCGAGCGAGCGAGCGAGTGCCATCAGTTCTCTACATCATATCTACAACTCGCTCTTGCGCATGCGCGTAATAATTCACGAGTTAAAAATGAGAACTGTGATCAAAGATATTTAGCAAACACGGTGAAAAAAGGAACTTATAAACTTTTTAAGGAATTGGGTTTTTGATTCTAAACTGATCCGTGATGTACAGACCGTTAACTGGTGGTTGGCAGAATACAGCAGAACTGGAAACGATTTGAAAATTAAATTTGTCTCTAACACTAAGCGGAAGATTGCGCTGGGCGATCTCCTTAGTTTTGATTGACGCTATAAAATCCAAAATTGAAAATAATACGGCACAAAAGAGTATTGACGTTTTATCCCGAAAGGAAAAAACCTGTGAAAAATTAAACTTTTCGCCAGTCATAAAAATAACCTCCAATGCTATTCCTAAATATTAAAATGGCTGGCTCAGGAAGATATCATGAATGTATATAAATTTTGGTATCGGAAGTTTCACTTTCCAATAGTAATGGATAATTGGGGTAGACCCGTGGGGTGGGTATAAGTTAGCCGTTGCCAGAACACAACGGGTAACTTATCATTTTTATGGCGAAAAGAAACAATGTCTATTTACTTTACGCTCATTACATTTGCAGTTTATGAAAGGGAACAAAATTTTTGTCCGAAATTTGGGCGATCGCCCATTCAGTGGAGAAATATTGACTTCGAAAGAGAGACTAAGCCAGATTGGCATACGAGACAAAAAAATAATAATTTTGATAAATTCCCGACATTTCACCATGGATTTTTTCTTCTATTTTCAAGGTCAAGATGTACAACATAAAAGAAGCTATATCAGCTATATCCATAGGTATAGTAGTCGCCGAGTTCCTTCGCAAAACTGGTCGCGTGTTGCAGGCCGTCGAGGTTTACAAATCAGCAATCAACATCATGAAAACGATGGAAAACACACATCGCCAGGCACTAAGTTATGCACAACTCGGATTAATGTTGCAATTGCAAAGTCAATATGAGAAGGCCCGAGAATATCAAGAGAAAGCACTCACTATCAGAATAGAAATTGGTGACAGGGATGGAGAAGCAACAAGCTACGGAAACCTAGGAACTTTGTTCCAATCACTCGGTCAATATGACAAGGCCCGAGAATATCAGGAGAAAGCACTCGCTATCAAAATAGAAATTGGTGACAGGAATGGAGAAGCAACAAGCTACGGAAACCTAGGAACTTTGTTCCAATCACTCGGTCAATATGACAAGGCCCGAGAATATCAGGAGAAAGCACTCGCTATCAAAATAGAAATTGGTGACAGGGATGGAGAAGCAACAAGCTACGGAAACCTAGGAACTTTGTTCCAATCACTCGGTCAATATGACAAGGCCCGAGAATATCAGGAGAAAGCACTCGCTATCAAAATAGAAATTGGTGACAGGAATGGAGAAGCAACAAGCTACGGAAACCTAGGAACTTTGTTCCAATCACTCGGTCAATATGACAAGGCCCGAGAATATCAGGAGAAAGCACTCGCTATCAGAATAGAAATTGGTGACAGGGATGGAGAAGCAACAAGCTACGGAAACCTAGGAACTTTGTTCCAATCACTCGGTCAATATGACAAGGCCCGAGAATATCAGGAGAAAGCACTCGCTATCAGAATAGAAATTGGTGACAGGGATGGAGAAGCAACAAGCTACGGAAACCTAGGAACTTTGTTCCAATCACTCGGTCAATATGACAAGGCCCGAGAATATCAGGAGAAAGCACTCGCTATCAGAATAGAAATTGGTGACAGGGATGGAGAAGCAACAAGCTACGGAAACCTAGGAACTTTGTTCCAATCACTCGGTCAATATGACAAGGCCCGAGAATATCAGGAGAAAGCACTCGCTATCAAAATAGAAATTCAGGAGAAAGCACTCGCTATCAAAATAGAAATTGGCGACAGGGATGGAGAAGCATCAAGCTACGGAAACCTAGGAACTTTGTTCCAATCACTCGGTCAATATGACAAGGCCCGAGAATATCAGGAGAAAGCACTCGCTATCAAAATAGAAATTGGTGACAGGGATGGAGAAGCAACAAGCTACGGAAACCTAGGAACTTTGTTCCAATCACTCGGTCAATATGACAAGGCCCGAGAATATCAGGAGAAAGCACTCGCTATCAGAATAGAAATTGGTGACAGGGATGGAGAAGCAACAAGCTACGGAAACCTAGGAACTTTGTTCCAATCACTCGGTCAATATGACAAGGCCCGAGAATATCAGGAGAAAGCACTCGCTATCAAAATAGAAATTGGTGACAGGGATGGAGAAGCATCAAGCTACGGAAACCTAGGAACTTTGTTCCAATCACTCGGTCAATATGACAAGGCCCGAGAATATCAGGAGAAAGCACTCGCTATCAAAATAGAAATTGGTGACAGGGATGGAGAAGCAACAAGCTACGGAAACCTAGGAACTTTGTTCCAATCACTCGGTCAATATGACAAGGCCCGAGAATATCAGGAGAAAGCACTCGCTATCAAAATAGAAATTGGTGACAGGGATGGAGAAGCATCAAGCTACGGAAACCTAGGAACTTTGTTCCAATCACTCGGTCAATATGACAAGGCCCGAGAATATCAGGAGAAAGCACTCGCTATCAGAATAGAAATTGGTGACAGGGATGGAGAAGCAACAAGCTACGGAAACCTAGGAACTTTGTTCCAATCACTCGGTCAATATGACAAGGCCCGAGAATATCAGGAGAAAGCACTCGCTATCAAAATAGAAATTGGTGACAGGGATGGAGAAGCATCAAGCTACGGAAACCTAGGAACTTTGTTCCAATCACTCGGTCAATATGACAAGGCCCGAGAATATCAGGAGAAAGCACTCGCTATCAAAATAGAAATTGGTGACAGGGATGGAGAAGCAACAAGCTACGGAAACCTAGGAACTTTGTTCCAATCACTCGGTCAATATGACAAGGCCCGAGAATATCAGGAGAAAGCACTCGCTATCAAAATAGAAATTGGTGACAGGGATGGAGAAGCAACAAGCTACGGAAACCTAGGAACTTTGTTCCAATCACTCGGTCAATATGACAAGGCCCGAGAATATCAGGAGAAAGCACTCGCTATCAAAATAGAAATTGGTGACAGGGATGGAGAAGCAACAAGCTACGGAAACCTAGGAACTTTGTTCCAATCACTCGGTCAATATGACAAGGCCCGAGAATATCAGGAGAAAGCACTCGCTATCAAAATAGAAATTGGTGACAGGGATGGAGAAGCAACAAGCTACGGAAACCTAGGAACTTTGTTCCAATCACTCGGTCAATATGACAAGGCCCGAGAATATCAGGAGAAAGCACTCGCTATCAAAATAGAAATTGGTGACAGGGATGGAGAAGCAACAAGCTACGGAAACCTAGGAACTTTGTTCCAATCACTCGGTCAATATGACAAGGCCCGAGAATATCAGGAGAAAGCACTCGCTATCAAAATAGAAATTGGTGACAGGGATGGAGAAGCATCAAGCTACGGAAACCTAGGAACTTTGTTCCAATCACTCGGTCAATATGACAAGGCCCGAGAATATCAGGAGAAAGCACTCGCTATCAAAATAGAAATTGGCGACAGGCATGGAGAAGCAGCAAGCTACGGAAACCTAGGAACTTTGTTCCAATCACGCGGTCAATATGACAAGGCCCGAGAATATAAAGAGAAAGCACTCGCTATCAAAATAGAAATTGGTGACAGGGATGGAGAAGCATCAAGCTACGGAAACCTAGGAACTTTGTTCCAATCACTCGGTCAATATGACAAGGCCCGAGAATATCAGGAGAAAGCACTCGCTATCAAAATAGAAATTGGTGACAGGGATGGAGAAGCATCAAGCTACGGAAACCTAGGAACTTTGTTCCAATCACTCGGTCAATATGACAAGGCCCGAGAATATCAGGAGAAAGCACTCGCTATCAAAATAGAAATTGGTGACAGGGATGGAGAAGCATCAAGCTACGGAAACCTAGGAACTTTGTTCCAATCACTCGGTCAATATGACAAGGCCCGAGAATATCAGGAGAAAGCACTCGCTATCAGAATAGAAATTGGTGACAGGGATGGAGAAGCATCAAGCTACGGAAACCTAGGAACTTTGTTCCAATCACTCGGTCAATATGACAAGGCCCGAGAATATCAGGAGAAAGCACTCGCTATCAAAATAGAAATTGGTGACAGGAATGGAGAAGCAACAAGCTACAGAAACCTCACATGTTTGTTTCTCTCACTAGGCATGTATGGAAAGGCTGACGACTATCTAAAGAAGGCAATGGACGTTAGAAAGGGTGTCGATGACAGAAGTGGAGAAGCAGCAGACTACACAAACATAGGTATAATTTGTTGTAAGCGTGGTGAATATGACAAGGCTCAAGAATATTGCGAGAAAGCCCTTACAAGTTTCATAGACATCGGTGATAGAGAAAACGTAGTAGTCTGCTACAACAATTTAGGATTTTGTTACCAATCTCTTGGTAAAAATGACATAGCTGAAGGATACCTTAAGCAAGCTCTTCTACTAAGTAGGGATATTGGACACAACTTGAACGAGTTTCGCTGCCTTTGTAATCTATCGGCGTTAATGGCGTCGCAAGGTCATCTTGAAGAGGCTTCTTCGTATCTTTTTCAAGGCATCCAAAAGTTCGAAACTTTGAGAGGTTTTCTTAAAGAAAACGACGAGTTTCAAATATCCCTTTTAGAAAAGTACGGCACCTTTCCCTACAAGTGGTTCAGCAGGTTGCTTTCTTCCACTGGAAAGCCTGAAGACGCCCTTTACGTCGAAGAGCTGAGAAGGGCAAGATGCCTGGTCGACTTGATGACAGCTCAGTACTCTGTTCAAGAGCAGATCTCAAGCGATCCACAATCTTGGTGTGGCATTCAAGGGATCATCAGAAAAGAAGCAGACTGTGCATGCCTGTACATTTCGGTTGGTGAAATTTACGTACGGTTTTGGATAATAAAAGCAACGGGAGCTATTCTTTTTTCAGAAAAGAAAGTGAACCTGGACCCAAACAAGGTGACCGGAATAGTCCCTGAGTTAGATGAGTTTTTTAAAGAACTGATGTCACTTCAGCGCAACAACCGATCAGGGCTGCATTACTATGATACCGAAGATTTCAAAACAAGTCTTCACTTGTGTTACAAGATAATCGTTGCTCCTGTGGCCAGTTTACTGAAGCAGCCCGAGATCATAATTGTCCCTGATTCCTGTGTGTACCAAGTGCCATTTGCAGCCTTAGCTGACGAAGGAGGAAAGTATTTATCAGAGAGATGCAGGATTCGGCTGGTTCCCTCTCTCACGACTCTAAAGCTTGTGCAAGACAGTCCTCCAGACCATCACAGTCAGACCGGGGCTCTGATAGTGGGTGACCCTGTGGTTGGAAAGGTGATTTACAAGGGACGGTGCAGAAATATGACACCATTGCCGTGTGCAAGAAAGGAAGCAGAGATGATTGGAACACTTCTTGGCGTAACGCCTTTGACAGGAGAGTCCGCTACAAAGCATTCTGTACTCCAAGCGATAAATTCAGTGAGCCTCATACACATTGCTGCGCATGGAGATTCTGAAAGAGGGGAGATTTTTCTTTCTCCTAAGCACCTTACCCTACACCCACCTTTTCCTCGAGAAGAAGATTATCTTTTGACGATGGCAGATATTTCAAAAACTCGGTTGCGAGCTAAACTAGTGGTGCTTAGTTGTTGTCACAGTGCTCGTGGACAGATTAGAACCGAGGGAGTTATTGGAATTGCCCGAGCATTCTTAGGATCCGGAGCTCGTTCAGTGTTAGCGGCACGATGGGCCTTGGATGACACAGCTACAGAGCAGTTCATGACTTGTTTCTACAAACATTTGTACCGCGGTGAAAGCGCAAGTGAATCTCTCCACAAGGCCAGGAAGTGGATGAGAAATAACGACTTTGATAAAGTTTCTCAATGGGCGCCATTTATGATCATGGGCGACAACGTGACATTTGATTTTGGAAGTTGGCCGGTGCCTAGCGCACCTTAAGAGCCACAACTTTGATAAAAACTTCTGTAGCAGAATGAACTGAACTTAGTTAAGCTCAGAACTATTTAACTACTAGCCTGTAGAAAAAGGACACCATACGTGAAGGAAAACTCGGATCGATACACAGAGGAGAGCATTTCCATAAAATGCTTATCAGACATCTAAGTTTTTTAATCTGAAACAAGACAGCGTATAGTGTTATCTCTTTATAGGAGTTCCGAAGTTAAAAACTCCAATTTATTTTTTAAGTTTTTAGTTCAGTAAACAACCCAAGCAAGTGTGACAATTTTTAGGTTTCGAACAAAGATTAGTTCTTCGAGGAAAGAAAATTTTTAATCCTTTTTCAAAGGCGATTAGTCAGTCAATTCAAGAGACTTTTAAACAAATGTGTAACTTGGAAAAGAAGTTTTTTCTGAGCTTAAATTTTTGGAAATTTCTTGCAAGGCTTTTGAAAAAAAATATTGTGGTTTAACATGCCAAAATAAACACAATAAAAAAAAGGGGATACTTTATACTAATCGTACAGTAATACAAACCCTTGTATTCTCATAGAAACCCCAGTAGTTTTATCAATTTAACCCTTTAACCCCCAGGAGTGACTAGCATCTAATTTCTCCTCACAGTATCACTACTGAATCAAACATCGAGGTCATAAGAATAATGAAAATGATCAACAAGTACAAGAGCTCTTGATTATTAAGCAAAATCTCCTTGTCAGCACCTGAGGGAAATGTATAGAAAACAGTATGGAGAATATACGTACTGATCTTAGGGTGTAAAGGGTCAATCGATACCCCTATGTGTAGATACTGTTGTATCCTCACACAGACTCTTGTATGCTTATAGATACTTTTGTATCCTCGTTATCCTTCACTTTCCCTCTGCTGCTACTATTTCGCTCCGTTTAATCAACTGAACGTCACGAAAAGGTTACATTATTATCAAAGGGCAATTTAGGTAGGGGATTCCATTTTGTTGACTAAAAAAACTCAACAGATTTTTCGTCTGCTACTATTGTGCCATATCTGTGACTTACAAGACAATAAATGTTCAATGAAAACCGAAAGAATACCAAATAAATTTGTATGCTACAAAAATTTGCATGCGAGAAAAATAGTTCCTAAGACCGTTGACCGTATCCACCCCCACATTTATATATATATATATACAGTTTAGCAAGATAACTTTTCTAGTATTTCAGAACACCGAAGCAAATATATTACCGAGCGAACTTTTGATAAAAATGCAAAAAATTATTAACGAGAAGATGTGACCTTCAAGTAACACCACTGAATAATTCTGAAGATTAATAACACAATTATTCATCAGATGTAGGGGATCGCTGAAATGGTTCAAACTGGCTTATAAAATGTGACTTATTGAATACCTTCGATCCAATAGGTGTGGATTGTTTAAACGAGTTGCAATTGTCATCAGAATTTGTCCCACTTTCAGCTCAAAACAGTGTTGCAATGCAGTGTGAACGCGGCAACATGAAAACCTGACTCATTTTCTGTCAACAAACTGCACTCTAACAGGTCTGTCAGGAATGGTGACCCCTCTCATGAACGGCTCCACATTCTCTGCCTCCGGTGGGTAAGAGATGTCAAACTGCTGTACGATTCTGGCCATCAGCAGATGAAGCTCTAACTCGGCAATACGTCGACCGAGGCACATACGTGTTCCGAATCCAAACGGAAGAGAAGCGAAAGCTTCTGCTGATTCGATCAAAGCGGTATCTTTGTTTCGCAACCATCTCTCCGGTTTAAACGCTTCGGCATCTTCAAAAATACCCTCATCTCACCCCATTTGGTGAACAAGGAACTCAACTTGAGCAGTGCCCCCAGGGATATGGTAGTACAATAATATTATGTCTTCTTTCGGTCTTCGCGGGATAGCGGAGAGAACAGGGTATAGGCGGAGGGTCTCTCGTAACCAGGCCTTCAAATATGGTATACGAGCCAGCGTTTCCGGCGTTGCAAAGGTAGAATTTCCCACCACTACTGAGAGCACTTCTCGTCGAAGAATCTTCGTTTCTTAGGATTTTTGGCCAACATGTAAAGAACCCATTGCATCGTGTTGGACGTAGTGTCAACTCCGGCAAACAGAACATCGATTACACTCGCCAACAGGTCATCCTTCGTCAGCTTTCCGCTGGCCAGGAGGAACTTGAAGAAGCCAGCTTGGTCACGCTCTGTTTCCTTTGATGGCTTGCATGACTTCTCCTCCAGTTCGTTGATTCTTCTCCCGATAAATAATTCGGCGTAGTCGTAAATCGTGTCAAAATTATCAAAAAACTTTTTAAATTTCTGGGTCTCATAGATCTTGTAAAACCAAGGTGGCAAAAAACCGACCTCCACCGCATTCGCCAGAAAATCTCCGACGGCATAACCCTTAGTTAAGCGGCCAGCTGTCAGAGTCCCGAGAATTTTTCTCCTCAATTACGACAATTATGAACTCTATTAAGCGGTCGTGGTCACCCTTTGCTAAGTCCCAACAGCCTGTTTGCATTGTCCTCCACCTGTTTTTAATGGTCACTTAGAGCGGACCCACTCAAATAAAGCTAAGGACGAGCTTTCAAGTAAACTTTAACCTATGTTTATCTCCCAACCTGAAATGCAAACGGTACGTATTTTTGAGCGAGTATTTTTACATTAAGTGTTCGACTTTGGCGCAAGATGCCGTTTCATGTCGTTTTTTTGTGATACCCCCTTACTGTGAAATCTTTATTAAGCGGTCAACTCGTATTAAGCCATCTTAACCCAGTGGGTGACCGCTGAACACAGGTTCGACTGTAGATATTTTTTTTTTCTCATGCATCTTCTAGCATTGGAAGTTATATTTCTTTCCATCCGATATCTTATCGCACCCCAATCTAAAAACAAATTATTTCTGTCATTTAGCCTCCGAAGCTTGAGAGAAGAATCATTGCTTGTTATTTGTCTTTTTCTCTGAAGAGTGTTAGAATTATCTTACACCCAATGAGCAGAATAAGAAAAAGCTTTTACATTTCATTCACATCCGACTTCATGCATCAGAAGAGGAGAAATTGACTTCTACAGTGTAAATAAAATTAATGTCGGTCAAATCTCTTTACCTTCTTTCGGACGTGAATTGGCAGACCTATGGAACACTTAATGGTTCTTGTCAACGGCTTTTGAAAACTGCGCTTAAATTGTCATCAGACTGATGATAGTAATGGAAGATTCCTACTTTCGGCTTATTTAAAACACATCTTACTACTTCCAGGCTTCTCCGCTCTAAAAACACATCTTACTATTTCCAGGCTTCTCCGCTCTAAATCATCTGAATGAACAATTGTTGAGAAATAACTTGATTATCCTTAATTCGCGCGGTGGAAGAAGACGTCGAAAGCTAACTTTCCTAATAACTACTAAGTACCTATAAAAAAAGGCTAGGATACAGTTATTGGGTGAATAAAGCCCCACCCCCTTCAAAATTTTCCTTTAGTTTCAAAGATGCATCACTTTCTCTCGAGTACTAAGGAACGAGGTAAAGTGTTTTTTGTCCAGTCAATGTTACAAAAGACCATCTTAAATATCATGAAGAGTTACAAAGTACTCTTCATCATTTATGGAGATAAACGATTGACGTGATAAAGCTCGTTAAGAAGTTCAATTTTTCATCCTACGTATTCAATATGTTCTGATTGTTTGATTGCCCCTGAATAAAAGTGTCACAGTAAGTAGTTTGACGGTATTTAGGAGTGTTCCAAAAGAACGCTCCAAAAACTTTTAGGCTCTTTGAGAGTTCTTTCTTCTGAATCATTTAAAAATGATATAGAAAACAAAAACATATTTAGTACTTTTCAATCTCTTCTGCTTAAATTTCTTTTTTTCGACGAAAAAATCCTTTTTCTTTGTATTAAACCGTTCTAGCAGAAGGCCGGTGCCAAGAACAATTAATACGATTGACAATTTGAATTCACCCAGCCTTAAGCCGCGATTTTCAAACGCGAAGTAGCAATAAGCCATTCGTAAATAAGTCATCCTTCAACTCAACTTCAAGACCCAGTCAGAGATTTTTTAAAATTGACATTTGTCGTTTAGCAATGAAATTAATGAAAATGTCCAGCGTTCTCACAATGCCGAAAAAACCTAATGGCTAATTTACATTCTGCTAAAAATTAATAGAGGGAATATTGTATTGTGCAAACGCTGAAACATTTTTCCGCTTTTTAACTCGTGAATTGCGCGCATGCGCAAGAGCGAGTTGAAGTTATGATGTGGGGAATGGCACTCGCTCGCTCGCTCGATTGGTCGATTCCTGTAAACTTTTTTTCGATTTTAGGCTTTTGAGTGTATTTGATAGTTTTTGGCGAGCAATAAACAGACGAAATGGCGACCTTTGTTGCTAAGAATAGTGGTGGGGTGAAAAAGAAGCCAATGATAATCTTAGAAGAGTTTTTTTTTTCGTTTTAGTTTCAACAAGCGGCGCCAACGACTGGCAGGCATGCAAGGATTCACATTGAAATAACAGAACAACCTTCGTTTTTCATAAAATTGTAATTTACAATCCTTGAACTTGAAAACAATCCGAAGATTCATTGAAAATATCCCTAACTGCGAAGTGTTCGGAGTTTACAGATGTTCAAAAGCTTTTTCTGTTACGGCGGGAGATTGAGGACAAACTCGATCATTACGTTTCGTGTCGTGTGTTTTTCCTGCGTGAAGCAACAAAAGATGCCGGCGACTAACGAAATTACAAGTTAACACGAAAATCAAATAACACCTAAACAAACAATTTTAGCTACCGATTTTCAGTGAATTTTTAAAGAACAATTTTCTTTTAAGTTTCAAGACAATTTGAAGATTCAAAATACATACTACGTACTAAAATGCGAAAGTTACACACCACAAAATTGATAAATAGGCCTGAAATGAAATTCTATCTTGTTATTGATTATACGTTGCCTAGCACGTGACTAAAATCTACCCGGGCGGAGATCCAAAATGACGGTGACAGTTTTCGCTCAGTTATATTACTTAAAACTCGTTCCCGTTTGTCTCATTTGATAAAGAGGGATGTTTTCATTAAGACAGTATTGCCTTGATTTTCTAATATTTACAATGATAGACAGTAAATTTCACTTTTCACCCACATTTGCTTCCAACCTTTTCTTTTGAACCAGAAACAGAAATGATATACGTTTAAAACACATGACATCATCCACCCTTGTCAAATGCAATAGCATGATCATTTCAATTGTAATGCCTTCTTATCCCAACGTTACTTTGTTTCTTTGATACATTAGCGAACACTGAACTACTGCTCGTACTCTAGATATGACAATCAACCACAAAATTCCCTAAACCAGATAACATTAAACATAATCCAAAAAATCATGTGTCAATTCACGAGTTTGCTCACAGAGCACTTTGATTTTAATATTAACTGACAACAGGTGGAACACTCTTCAAACGTCACTGTATAAATTTATATGAACTGCTAAAATTACAAATGTTTTGGTTAAGCATTTGGGAATTGTTTCGGCCTGTTAAATAATCTCGAGTCTTGCGAGCCTTGCAAGTAATTTAGTGTTAACAACTAGGTTGAAAACGTAAATTAGCCACCGTAAAGGGTAATAAAGCTGACGTTTCGAGCGTTAGTCCTTCGCGCAATCGCTCTGACGAAGGGCTAACGCTCGAAACGTCAGCTTTTTTATCCTTTACGGTGGCTAATTTACGTTTTCAACCCAGTTGTTAACACTAAATTACCTGCTATACTCTCCCACTGACGCAGCACCACAGTTTCTTTAGAAACTTACCCCTTTATTCTTGCGAGCCTTGTTTGATAATGTGACGCAGGACCACACAATACATGTAGTTTTGCTTTCTGAGTGATTTTACCTAGACCTTCATGATAGGGCTTTGTTCTCCGACAATAATTGCCACCGCAGGTCCGCAAGTAGACAACCCCAGACACGGCGTGTTTAGGGTTATCTATTAACCTTGCTTAGAGTCCTCCACGGGAGATCTTGTTTCGGTTTTTAGTTATCGAAGTCAATTGTTTCTAGAGTATTTTGTTGTTCTTTGATTTCGAAAGTCTGTTGAAATCGCTCGGGTTGGTGTTCTTAAAATACGTTTAATCTGGCAAGGTCAGTTGTCTGGTAAGCCCACACACGCCTACCAATAGGATATTAAAGAGTGCACTAAGGCCCGGGCTGAAAGAGTCATTAAGAAAAGAGTGACAGTCGCCCGTTAATAAAATCAGTTCTTGATCAGACTCTTGGTGCCTCCCGTCTACTCGTGGTGTTCGAGTTAGTTCACCCCAACAGTCCAACACAATTTTTACTAGTAATTGATCCTGGACAGGCCAATTTTTTTCTCCAAAAATTATTGCCATTGATGTTGTTGGTGATTGCTGATAGAAAGTGTTGTAAATTGGTAATAGCAAAAAGTTTGTGCGGCTTGTGTCCCACATATTTAGTTTGTTTTGTAAATTGGTGATTGCCTAAGACTCGGCTATCATTTAGTTGGCTTATGTTGTATGTCTGACTTCCTGTGTATTTCCACTTTCCTGTTTTTGGTCTTTGCAAATCCCACACTCCCACATTCTACCACTGAGACACAGAGACTCTCCAGTGAAAAAGGCCATAATTGCTACCTTCATGTGTATGCATGTTGCCTACATTTTCTTACTGGATACAAAGTCATCTTTGAGTCCGTAAACTACAACAAACTTTGGTCTTAATGAAGTTATTTACATTTAGAATGCTAGTTCTCAGATTATACAAGTTATATCTAAAATGTATCACTGCTTTTCAAGTTTAAGTTAATTTTCTAAAAATGACACATAATCTGTCAATAGTGCAAGTTCCTGTTCACTTGTGAGTGGAATCTCTTTCTGTGGAAGCTCTACAAAGAAAATAAGAAAAAGGAGTCAAAGAATGAAAAATGCTTTTAATTCTCCTATTCGATTTTTTGCCTGAAAAGGTGCACTGACATATCACAATTGATTGTAGTTTTGAAATTTGACAAGTGTTTTTGAACCTCTCACAGGATTCAAAGATTCATTTAGTGCTCCAAACTCAAGGTTTTTCAAAGTGACTATCAAGCAACCATGAATCTGAACATGATTACCATGGTTGTCGAAGGTTCATGCAACAACTCAAAACTTAACACTTACACACTGAGGAGAAAGAGGCAAAGACTGAAGACTAATTAGTTAAATGTACAAACTTGACTGCAGAACACAGGTCACCTAATTGGTGACTTTCACTAATGATCTTGTCCCCCAAACTATTTTTTTTAATATGCCATGGCAACCAAAATGGTCCTAGCTCAGAGGAATGTCATTTCACAACTAAATTAAACATTGCTCTGTTATAAGAGTGTAAAGAATGACAAAAAAAAAATGTAAGGGAATTATAAAATTTATAAATATGTTTAAGTCTGAGTTTGTATCTCTACCTGTCTTCTTGGGAGTAATCATTCCTGTGGCTGGATCACTAATCCATCCACTGGTAACAGCTGCTAAATTGTCATCAGACAAAAAAAAAAGAATGATATAAGTCAACTGTTATAATCATTGTTATTATAACTATTATTATCAAAACCATTATCCAACAATTATCAATTATTGATAAATTCCCTTCATATGGATTTCTGCATTAAAATTGATTAATCATTTGCTTTCAACGAAGAACATATACTATTCAAGGTTTCTGCTTTCTGCAGGCATTGATCTGAAGCTAGAAAGCTTCAGCTTTTCTACACCATCTTGGACTGACTGACACACATGGCCTTGATCTCATGTGGGTATCTAGACTTTCTACAGTTTGGATCACATGGGAAGATAAAGTGTATGTAGCTGAATTGGAAGCAGTTGATCAAACAAAATAAGTTGCCAAAATCAGAGCTGTGAGCCACTAAATGATGTTCAGAAGTTTAATTATACAATTGGTTTTATTACACAGAAACAAAAATCCATTCCTGATTTATATTGAACACACTTTTTCAATCCATGATTAATACTAGTTAATTTACTAATGATGTTCCATTCATCAATTTTTCTCAGTTTTTGTTTGCATGTTTGTTTGTAAACAAACTTTTTTTCTTTAAAGCAACTGATCATAATGCAAAATAATACAATTTTATTTAGACATGCACAACTTTCTTTCACTTACTGTTTCCTAAAGATCACTGTTACCATCACTTTTTATCTAAACATTTCAAATGATGACTGAATAACACTGTAAATATATGCAGTGAAACTGCAACACCAACCACTCAAAGCAGCTTCCCTTGTTATCCCCATTAGTTTAGCCAAGTCTTCTGCTCTGATAGAGGTGTATGCGTTGGATACTAAATCAAATGTCCTTTTCTGAAGTTTTTCTGAAAAAACCATACAAGATGTCATGAACTAGACACCATCACCATACAAGGAGGGTAATCTGATTGCCTTAACCCCATACATGGAAATCCCAAAAGTTATTCACATGTAACTTCTCTCCTATAATCCACACTTTATCCAGAAAACAGGTAATAAGAATACCAAAACTTATAAGATAGAAGTTTTAAACTTGATCTAACACCAAATTCTTGTAACTAATCTACAAAGAAATATGTGGCAGCAAGAGGGGACAATTAACAGTCCAATCTTGGGAGAAAAAGGGTTAGGACTTGTTGCAAGTAATCGGTTAATTACATTATCCGTATAGGTATATGAGTGAACTTCAAGGTAAAAAGGTGTAACAACAATCAGCAGTCTAAACCATGTTAAGCTCTTATCATTTTTTCAGTCAAAAACTCACTTTTACACAAGTCATATGAAAGTCAGTCTCTCCTTGCAAGTAAACAAGCTAAAACTAGTAAATTAGCAAAGTTTCTCTAGATCCCATAGCAAGCTCATGAAAACATTTTTTTAAGCTCTTGTACATAATCACATTCAATGGAAGCCAAATTAATGGCTGGTAGCAGTCTTTACTTTGAGAAATCAAAACATTTTTTGCTTCATATTTTCTGGAATTTCAAGCAATTTATTTCAATGAAACTCGAAAACTGACCACACCAGACATGATTTATTGCTGCAGGCAAGTTTTGTTTAGTTTCAATGAAAAATCAGTCTTTCATGGAGTCAATAAAGAGTTCCAATGGAATTACTTTCTTTTCTTCTCCCTCTGCTGTTTACAAACAAATTGCACACAACAGATCATACAACTTGTAACAAGGAGAAAATCATAAAAATTTTAGAGTTTGCTGCTGGTAGGCATTTAAATCTCACCTGTTAATGCTGCAATGATTGGCTGGATAGAAGGTGACCATTCTTCTTTCAGAGCATTATAAACAGCTACAAAATCTCTTTTCCAGATATGACATCCTACATTCCAAAGTTTTGCAAGCTCTGGAGTTGACTTAAGGTGATAAATAAATAAATAAATAAATAATATTAAAAAAATGTATTAACCAAAGAAGAAAAAAATATACAAAACGCTTATGTGGTAGACATTGTAGCCTAACAGTTGACTTGCTGAACTGCAAATCTAACTCCTGGCTGAAATATTGTTATGTTCTTGGATAATACTAAAATTCATGTGGTAGAAGATGATATCTTGGTTTGTTACTAAATTCTCATAACTAATTTACAAGGAAATGTGAAATAGGGGGTTAATGGGTGATACATATAATGCTCAAAGAGCCCCTCTCCCCCAAGGAGTAGTCATGGAATATCATGGAAGCAAAATAGAAACTATTAGAAGGGGTTGGGGGTGGGGTGAAGTGGCATTTGACTAGCATCCCTTTAGCAAAAATACCAATATTATAAGATAATCACATTATACTATGATTATATTATATTGTATTATATTATATGATAAACTAAATTATACTGGTATTTTAATTGGTTCTTATTGATGGATTATTGGAGTACATTCACAAAAATTCAGGTATAAATGGCATCACCATTACCACCATTTTTCTTCATCATACAAAACACACAGATTCCATATTCTCTTGCAACTATTCAGTAACAGATCACAGACTGCATCAAAATGTGGTAAGAGTTAATATCATTAGCACACTTATCCACTGCTAATGCACCACATTTATGTTTTTATCATATTTAACAGTCATCTGTGATCTATTACTGATTGTAATTTATGATAAGCTAAATTATTCTCACATTTTGATTGAATCTTACTTATTGATGTTAATACAAATTGTTTGTAAATCCTTCAAGAAGAAAATCTACATTCATGTTGATTATCTGTCAAGATTTACTGTAATTACAAGAAAAAAGTTGACATAACTCACCAGTTTAATTTCATCTGGTGTTCTTTTCCATAAAAACTTGGCATTGCAGCTGAAAAACAGCAAAAACAAAAATAGCTTCACCATGATAGAAACAGAGGCTTTCTTGTCAGCTTGTTGTGTTTATTGAACATGGAGGGAATACATCAGCTATAAGCTGAGAGTCATAGGGGTAACATCAACCAATACTGAGTGGTATGCTTCTTAATTTTACACCTGTACAAATGCAAGTTCGCTTTGTTTGTGTAATTTAACATTTGTAGACTATTGTGTGAGCTGCTCCTTGCCTTACAAATTGCTAGTAACAAAATGGCCATGTTACATGTAGGTACTAGAGAGATTGATATAGGATGGAGTTCAGTTGAGCAATTGCTTCCGTGGGTTGGTACCCATTTTCAGAAACAAATTTCAAGGACTTTTCTAGGACTCAGATTGATTTTTCCAGGACTTCAAGTATCACCTTAAACCCTTCCCTTTCATTCCCAAGATTTGTACCTCAACTCTCCTAACAGTGCAGGGGGGGTGGTGAATTTGAACCTTGTTTGGGTGGGGAAGGGAATTTGAATTTTCCAAATTAGAAACATAGAACATCCATAGAGAGACAGTCTTGTATTATAATTGCAATAAAGCTAGCCTACTTGGCAAAAGTAATTTTAAATTAGCAGACTTGCCCATCTAGTTAAGTTCTCTAATGAAGGTAAAAGTTCAGTTAAGTCACAATAGGTACTTTAGTTATTTCTTAGTAATTAATATGAGTTGCTCTATTGCTCTGCTTACTGGCACATTTATATGAATGAATTTGCATTCTTGGAAGCTAACATTTAACATTCCAAAACTTACTGCATTTATTAGCTCCTCCACCTCTTGAAATGACAATCTTCCAAATGCTAAAGTTTCTTAAATATTGCTCATATTAACTTCCCTAAAAGTCTATGGTTATTGTTAAATTGAATCACCCATTGTAAATAAAACATGTTAAAGTTCATCTTGTGAATCTCATTTTAACTTCATGAGCTCTTGGATGATCTTACAGTACTCAGTACTGGCTAAGATTTGATCAAGAGATCTAAAAATTCTTTCTCAGAGTTTCTTTCTTATTATACCCAGTGTTAGATCTTTCAAGTACTGCTTCTAAACTTCCTCTTGCCAATTCACACACACCATCACAGAGAAATGTGTTTGATGAGTGTAACGTAAATTTGAATTGCAACTTACTTTATCAGTAAAGAGCACACCCATGCCTTCTTTTGCTTCTTTTAAAGTGAACCCAGCATAACATCTAAACAACTATTGATGCAGCTCCACAGTGACAAACACAAACAATCATAATTTTTTTTTACTTAAAACTCTGTTACAATTTATGGATGCATGTGGAGTATTTTTATGATAGAAGTGATCATTATCCCTTATTTAGTGTTTATTCATTTTTTGATTAATTTTTATGGTATAATTTGTAGCCATTTAAGATAGTATAGAACATCCACATCAGCTTATCCTGCATCAAGCTGCACATAGTCGTGATAGATAGGTAAGTTGGATCATGTGTGTTACCATGTAGAGGCCAGACTTACAGCCATCCACATTAGGGTTATCTCAAACAGGAAACTGAAGCAGGTCCAGCAGAAGCAGCACAGAAACCTGCTGGCGATGCCATTTGACCGCTGGGAGTAGTACAAGACAACAGAGTAGACCCTGCACAGCTGCTGAGAACCTGTTCTCATCTCAAAGGCCCAACCCATGAGAACTTAAGAACTCAACAAAAACCACAACAAAAAACGGCTCCTTTAGATGCCACCAAGTTTGCAAATGAAAACGAGCAACAATAATGTAATGTTATAATAATGTTATAAGATAGCGGTCTGTAACAGAATCCGGAAAGACGCAACATCAACTGTCTGAATCATTCAGGTAAATTCCGAGTCATTTATTTGACGATTATTTTTAACTAAAAGCTCTATTTTGGACGTTGGCGAACTTACATCTACGCGTCGGTAAAGCGACCATCATTCGTTAAAAATGGCAGATTTTCCCGCAGAAAGTTGTTGTTCCAACAGCAGTATGCAACAGCCGACAGTTCGAGTACGAATAGTACGATTTTCTGACATCATTGTCACTGTGTGGCAGGGTGCAACCGTGCTTGAGTGGGATTTATTTTCGACTAAGTTCTGAAATCGTGAAGACAACCTCCATATCAAACTTTACAATAAAGTTCGGATATAACGCGCGCTGTCATTGGTTGAAAGAGCGTGCTCTATGAGAGTTTATAATAAAGTTCGGATATAACGCGCGCTGTCATTGGTTGAAAGAGCGTGCTCTATGAGAGTATAGAGTATAGAGCATAGAGCTGAGCTAAAGCTGTCACGCCATCTGCCAAATTGTGCTATGTTCGACCTTTTCCGGGAATTCTTTTTAGCTTTTTTCCGATAATTGAAAGTGAAGTTTCGGAACAAGCGAGCCGGCAAGTAGCAACAGAAGAACCAAATAAAGGTTTGTAAACATACCAGGCGCCGTAATTTACGTTATTAAAACGTGAGCAGATACGAAAATCCTCAAAGGAAAAACAAAATAGACATTCCGAGTTTTAAAGATTAATTCACGCTCAGTTAGATTGCAAGCTTACGAACAGAACAAAACAGAAATGATTAAAAAAAAATAACCAAACTGGCATAACTGTTAAAATTCATACTAATCATGACGGTGTCTGAGCAAATATGATCATGCTGAAGTCCATCGCGGTTCGCTTATCATGGCGATCTCCGGTCATCACAGTAAAGCAAGCCTCAAAAACTACATCAGCCGCCCTTCGAGTGAAAAAATAAGAGCTTGTTCTGATATCCTTTCCGATGTGTTGAGTGGAAAGTCACTTCAGACACTGCAGCCGAGTTTTGCGGCGCTGTCATCCCGAGCGACCTTCATGTTCCGGTGAATTCGGCTGTCGTCAGTACTTGAAAAATAAACACGGGGAAGGAAAACACAAAGGATTAAACTTGAAGCTAAAGCAAAGTTAAAATTTGAGCCATAGCTGATCCAAATACTGAGCACTTAACCCATTTAGTAAAGTTCATGTATATGTCAGCCAGCTTGTCACAAGTTTTCCCCCTCTCTCCTCCAAAAGTCTCTGTACACAAATTTTTCTATGTGGTCCCATATTGATAAGTATATTACAGCTCCTCGATCTCCTTCTCTCAAAATAAGGTAACTCTAAATTTAATAATGTAATTGATTTGATAAAACTCTAACTATAACTGGCTGTTACTCGCAACATTGATTTCTTGATATTTAAGCCAAACTGTTTTGTAGTCTTACTGTTTTGTGATCTTTACATATTTGGCATTGCCATTTCCTCTTTGAGTTGATTGCCCAATCTGGTACTTGCACACATTCAGGGTGATACCAACTGGAATATCTAAAGCACATAACATATTCTTTCTTGTCATTTGGCAGTCGACATTTGCAAAAAATTTGTACCAATGTCTTGTTTTCAACGAACCCTTCTTTGGAAAGGGAGTAACTTTGGCACTTTCAAGACAAGACATGTGACATAGTGCTGTCGCATCAGTGCTTGATCGTAACGCTGAGTCGTTAGATCTAAACCTTGACATAAATCTGTGGCAAATGCTAAGGCAAAAAGACCACAGTCAGCAGAACCTATCTGCTTTTGTACCTTCTCATTGATGAAGGTGACTGTATCACCAGCATGCAGCAACATCTGACAGGCATGTTCAACTGCAATGGCATTTGGCTTGATGAACAGGCTGTCAAAGACTCTGACAGTGCCAGGATGTGACACACCAATTGTGCTAAGACATAGCCAGTGTCCAACATTTATGATTTGCACAAACTCAGATGTTGCTGGATCGACCAAATGACCTCTTATAGCAGGATCACAAAGGCTGTCAACCAGAGGAAATTGTTTCTTAAAAAGGATTTGGCCAGCATTGATTTCTGTGTCATAAAGCCATCCATTTTTGTCCAAGATGTTGTTTTTGGTGGCTTCCAGGATTGTGAGTCGCGATTCCGGATCGTCCGGGCAAACATTTTGTAAAGTTAACCAAATTTTTGGTGATGAACTGTCATCGTCAATCACTACTGTTGCAGGAGGAGGTTTCTTTACAGTTTCCTTCTTTTCATTTTTCGTTTCATTTTTGTTGTATAATTTGGGTGATGGGGAATCTTCCATTTCGCCTTCTTTACCACTGTTTTCTTTTAGCTTTCCAAATTCACATTCCTGCTTTCCATACACGTCAGTTTCTCTTTCACAATTTTCACTTCCTTTGGATATGGTTGTTGTTTCATCAGATTTGGAAGCATTCACAGCTTCCACTTTGTCCTCTTCATTACTGGTTTCCTCTTCTTTTTCTTTACTGATTGTCTGCTCAGGGAAGATTGCAGGTTTTGTTTCTTTGTAAAATGCTCTTCGATATTCGGTTGTTGGTGTGACAGGTACGTGGACAAAGCATGTCTTTCGCTTCGTAGCAGCCTTCACACCCACCCGCGCAGTGTATCTGTTTTGCGGTTTCTTTTTTGGTAGGGAAGTTTTACATCGGTTTTTAATCGAGCTGCGTGCCTTGTTTTCCATTTTTATGCTTTTTCTCATGAAAGGACTGCTCTCACCACCTTCTATGACGAGTCCGTCTTCTGATGTTTTGAACTGTTGTATTTCGTCACGAAGACTCGATAGCTCCTTATAAAGATTTGCCAACGCTTGCTGATCTTGAACTACGAATGTGAGTTGGCGAATTTCATCCAGGAGTATGCGGCATTTTTTTCCTTCACTTTTCTTTTGGTGATGAGTGAACCTTATTGGGATAGCGGTTTCAGGAATAGGGGATACGTTTTCTTTTGAACACAGCCAAGATTTTTTAGGCAGTGGCTCATTTAGCTGTGGACTATCACTATTGGCTTCAGGTAAGACACTGGATGGGGAAGGAAAAGGACTGCTGCCATTGAGTAGATGATAATCTAGGGTTAGGTATGGCGAATTCCGATAGTTTTGCGGCAGTTTCTCCCAATTCCACTCTGGGAAGTGCTTAAAAATAGCAAAGAAGTGCTTGCAAGGTAAGCGCCTTCGCTGCCATGCCTCACATTCGCATGAGGGTGATGTTCCTTCTTTGTGCCTAAACTGCAGCCGGTACCACCGCCTACTTGACGATTCACTTTTAACTTCAAATACACCTCCAGTGTCTGATGGCTTGATGCTGCTCTTCTTTATATCCATTGCAAGACTGATTTTTTCTTTGCAGTGCTCCACAAAATATCTTGGCCTGTTGACGAGGAATTCCCAAATTCCCGGACTCGTCATAGAGGGTGGTGAGAGCAGTCCTTTCATGAGATTCCCAAATCCCAAATTACAATGTGTTCAGGCGGGACAGAGGTTGGGCAGACTTGGACAAAAGGAAAAAAGGGGGTGTTGCGGTCTATGTGAGAGACAGTCTTAAAGTCTTGGATGTCTATCGGTCCAATTTATATGAATTTATTGCTTTAACAGTGCAGTTGCCGTCCGATCACATTATGCTAATTTGCGGCCTGTATAATCCTCCCAAGCATAGCTACCGGGATCTCGACTTAATTAATTATATAATATCTTTTGTGGACATTGTGTTGAACAAACACCCAGAAGCGGCTATTGTCTGTGGTGGCGATGTAAATCGTTTGGATATGCAAGAATTTAAGGCTTTGTCTGGCTGGGATTTCGTGGTTGATTTTCCCACGCGGGGTAACGCGTGCTTGGATAACTGTATGACCAACCGAGCGGATCTGTTCGGTCAAGCATATTCCATACATATGCTTATTAAGACAGACCATGAAGGCTTTGTTTTACCGGCGGGATTAAAGCTTAAATCTATGCGCCGCAAAGTTCTTGTGCGGGACTGTAGGGAACACCGGAAACAGTCATTTTATATGGCACTCACTGCGCTGGACTGGAGTGACGTCCTCAATGAGGTGGACATAAACAAGGCGGTCGAGGTGCTTGAGGTAAAGATTCGTGCAGTGATGAATAAGTTTTGCCGCAAAAATCTGTACGCATGTCATTGACCCAGTTTGGATGTCCCCATTAGTCAAGTGTATGCTGAGGAGTAAGTCCCATATATCTTCAAAGAATAAGGAACGCCTGTCTTTATTTAATAAGCGCATTTCTGAGCTGATAACCGAGAACAGAAGAAAACTGGCTGCCATTGGTAGCGGTGAGTGGTGGAAGGGCGTGGACGCCCTATCGCAGCGTCGCAGGTCATCGTTGATAAATTTGGACAAGAACTCTCTAGTTCGTCTGAACGACTACTTCGCCAACCTGTGCTATGATGACACTTACGTTAGACCTAGTGATATGGATATCCCGGACAGTGTAAAGCCCCCGAAAATATCTGAGCGGTGTGTCTGGAATACCTTAGTTCATGTAAAGAAAACCGCAACGGGACCAGACGACCTCCCGTACTGGATCTGGAAAGACTGTGCTGAGCTACTCACACCAATCGTCACTCACGTTTGGAATCTGTCGCTGTCTACTCATACATGGCCAGACTCCTGGAAAAGGGCAAATGTTAACCCTCTCCCCAAAGTGAATATGCCTATAGAGGACTTACCGTGGTATTAATGTTACTCCCGTTATTGCCCGGTTGTTTGATAAGGTCGTGTATCGTACACAAGCACAGTCAGTCATTGAGAGCAACCTGAGCCAAATTTGCATATAGACAGGCGGGTAGTTGTACAAATGCCTTGCTCGCTATCCAGCACCAGACATACAAGTATTTAGATAGTAGTGACTATAGCGCAGTGCGAATTTTTACCATGGACTTCAGTGCTTTCGATTTTGTGAACCATGCTATTTTGTCTGCCAAACTGAAACAGCTACCTCTAAATCCGTACATTATCAATTGGTATCATAGTTTCCTCTATGCAAGACAACAGCGTGTTGTTAGTTATAATTTTTTAGGACAGTGGAAACTTGTCAATAGAGGAACCACACAAGGTAGTGTAAGCGGACCGTATCTTTTTAATATATTTTTGAACGATTTGGAGATTTTTTTTAATGGTTGCCCTGTGCTTTTTAAATATGCCGATGATTCCACTATTCTTTCGCCTATCACTAGGAATAGTGTCTGCCGACTTAGTAGGACAGTTCTTAACATGGTGTAAAGACAATAGAATGGTCTGCAACCCTTGCAAATGTAAAGAGCTGGTTGTTAGAAAGAAAAATCATAATGTACTCTACTCTCCAATTAATAATATTCCCCAATGTAATAGCTTCGTTTTATTAGGAGTAACTTTACAGAGTGATGGAAAATTTGATGAGCATGTAAGAACTAAGCTTGTCAAAGCAAACAAGTGTTTACACGTCCTACGAACATTGAGAAAGGAACATTACTCTCAGGCAGAGATTGATCATCTTTTTATATCGATTGTTTTGGCTAATTTTAGCTATGCACTTTCAGTCTATGGGGCATCTGAGTCCGATCTTACGGTTGTACAAAAATTTTTAGACCGATGTCATGAACGCGGTTTTATCTCATTTCCAGTTTTTATCAAGAACCTTTTAAACAAACAAGACAGAAATATTTTGAAGAAACTAAAATCAACGGATTGCCACCCCCTGAAAGATATCATTCCTGTCCAAAAGACATATCTACACAATCTCAGGAAAAAAGGCTGCGCGCGCTCGAAAATTAATACACAGCGCTTTATGAACACATTTGTAAATAGGTTGATATTTAAGCTCCATTTATTGTAATGATATACTTTTTAATTCATAATATGTATGTAGATTTCTGTAGTTTTTTCAATTCATTGTAACATAAGATATGTAGTTTTATCTTATGATGGAATAAAGACTTATTATTATTTATTCCGGTAACTCTTTGTTGTATGTTCTGTACATTCTGTGACACCTAACAATTTTTTCCATGTACCTGCACGGAGAAGAAAACGACAAGAGGTTAAACGTTTTACCATGGGCGGAGCAAGTTAAATGTACATAACTTTTGCTGTCCCCTTGCGTTAGTTGCATATGTGTTTTTCATGTGGCCGAAAGTATAGTGAGCACGTAGTGATACTAAATAACTATCCTTTGGAAGCGTAAGGTCGCAAGATGAATTGTTCTCTTTTTCATTATTATTTGTTGATGCGTTAACCCACTATACGCCCCTCAATGTTCAGTAATTACAGAACTACAGATTACCTTGAGTACTTTTCTGGTAAAAAATCGGTGATGAGCACGGAGAGCATTCCACTCAGGCTCTTATCCCTATGGTTAGCGAGGTGGTTGTATTTGAAATCCTCGTTTTGTCTTTCAAGACCGTTGTTGGTATTGACAGCTACTTGAAGACGGTCTTGCCGAAAAGCCCAAACCCATCGCTGAAAAGAAAACATAAATTGGTGTTTGTATGAATTGGAAAATTTGTTGACGTAGCGTTTCTTACTAAAGTATCTTAAAATATAAGTT